GTGGCATGATCGTTGGCACTTGGCAGAGTCGAAACCGATACCCTATTTGCACACTTTCATGAATATTGTCCACAAAATATTACCCCTTTGTGCGTGAAACAGGTGAAAAGTAAGCTTTAAGTATAACCCCCATTTCCGTATCTATATACGCATACACAAGAAGCACCACAGTAGTACCTAACTTTCTGCATATACGAATTTACATGTTTACGAACATCGTAATGATAATGACCCTTTTCGGGAAATGTCTTGCATTCGAAAAAAAGACAAATATTTCCTAAACCGAAACCAAAAGTAAAAATGAACAAATATTATATCGGATATTTAAAGGCGCTAAAAGTATCAAGTACCGATTTTATAGGAAGAAAATACTAAAATGATAAACAACGTTGCTAGCTATAAATCATAATTAATGTCTTTAGTACCTATATATAATTATCACCATGGACATACTACGAACCTTATCACAAACTTAAGTATCGAAATTAGTAGTTTCTTAATTACTCCGAATGGATTGCGCATAGCCGCATAGGGTGGGGGAGGGGGGGGGGGGGACCGACTTATAGTCATACATAATTATATACAAATGGGGAAGGGAGTGGGGAATGTAAACTGATCACGAACTACTCACCCGTTGTGGTGTTGTATCTGTATTAATACAAGTATGTTTTAGCTGAACTATGTAGTGATCAAAAGTCTAATACTTTTTTCCCCTTATCGGTCTATGTTTTTGCATTTGCTTTGTTTCATGTATTGTAATATTTTACTATTTATTAATTTGTTTATTGCTTTCCATTGTCATTTGTTTGTAATATGTAATACAGGGCTGCCTTGCAAAACAGTTTTTATATACTGAAGATACTACCTTGTATAACGAACACATTATAAACAAATATATAACGAAATCATGAATAAATGAATACATTTGTTAATATATAAACAAATAGATTAGCAATGGGTGGTGAGTGTTATAATTTCATTTCATTGAATTACATTTCATCTCATTTCTGATCTAATCCACCCCCTTTATGACTAGTACATACACCTGAGAAGCGGACGATATTGATGGTTTTCTTTGCACTGGGCAACACCCTCTAACAGTGATTAACAATAAATTCTCCCAACCATTTAAAAATTTTCCCAACTGTTTTTCCTTGAAAATAAGACTCTGCTTTTTTTAAATCTGTCAACACCTAAATGTCTGGAATGGTATATAAAGCCAATTCATTGCTTTGTGACGATTTAAATTCACCTATAATGTAATTAAATAGTAATATTATAGTTGGGAGAATTAAGAAAAAGGATCAGATCAGTGTTCCCCAATTGTTATCAATAATAATGATCCGTTTTCACTCAAACTTTCAGAACATCTGTAATACATCTAGCATTGAAGTCACTACCTTATTAGCACCACTTTCTCTCATCTGAACGATTTTACCAAGTCCCTTTAAAATTACTTGGCATTAATACAAGTTGGTAAAAATGCGGTCTTACTACGATTCTTGATATATACATACAGATTTTTAATGCATTGTTAACATTCTGGAAAATAATAAGATTGAAACCTATAGAACAATTAATTAAGAAGACCAACTACTCTATGAAATGAATTGTAAAACTGGTACTTGTGATTCAGAGTAAATTAAACATGAAATTGATCAATTCAGAAATGTTGTTAAAAAAAAATGAAAAAAGAACGTTGCAATTTATTCCGGAAGTAAATGAAATGAATTTGCTTCTCTACAAATAGAAATATCAAGAACAGAAACAATACATGAGGTGGTTGTCTAAAAAAAAATCACCAAAACCTGGATTTGTAGTAATATCAAAGATTTAAGTCATTAGAATTTATAATAAGTAATACCATGTCTATAGTAGTTAAAACAAAACTGATGTAACATTTTTTAAATTTTGCTATGTTTATTTGACAAAAAACAATGATAATTTCCCGGTCAAGTCACTTCGATCATGTGGCATGATCGTTGGCACTTGGCAGAGTCGAAACCGATACCCTATTTGCACACTTTCATGAATATTGTCCACAAAATATTACCCCTTTGTGCGTGAAACAGGTGAAAAGTAAGCTTTAAGTATAACCCCCATTTCCGTATCTATATACGCATACACAAGAAGCACCACAGTAGTACCTAACTTTCTGCATATACGAATTTACATGTTTACGAACATCGTAATGATAATGACCCTTTTCGGGAAATGTCTTGCATTCGAAAAAAAGACAAATATTTCCTAAACCGAAACCAAAAGTAAAAATGAACAAATATTATATCGGATATTTAAAGGCGCTAAAAGTATCAAGTACCGATTTTATAGGAAGAAAATACTAAAATGATAAACAACGTTGCTAGCTATAAATCATAATTAATGTCTTTAGTACCTATATATAATTATCACCATGGACATACTACGAACCTTATCACAAACTTAAGTATCGAAATTAGTAGTTTCTTAATTACTCCGAATGGATTGCGCATAGCCGCATAGGGTGGGGGAGGGGGGGGGGGACCGACTTATAGTCATACATAATTATATACAAATGGGGAAGGGAGTGGGGAATGTAAACTGATCACGAACTACTCACCCGTTGTGGTGTTGTATCTGTATTAATACAAGTATGTTTTAGCTGAACTATGTAGTGATCAAAAGTCTAATACTTTTTTCCCCTTATCGGTCTATGTTTTTGCATTTGCTTTGTTTCATGTATTGTAATATTTTACTATTTATTAATTTGTTTATTGCTTTCCATTGTCATTTGTTTGTAATATGTAATACAGGGCTGCCTTGCAAAACAGTTTTTATATACTGAAGATACTACCTTGTATAACGAACACATTATAAACAAATATATAACGAAATCATGAATAAATGAATACATTTGTTAATATATAAACAAATAGATTAGCAATGGGTGGTGAGTGTTATAATTTCATTTCATTGAATTACATTTCATCTCATTTCTGATCTAATCCACCCCCTTTATGACTAGTACATACACCTGAGAAGCGGACGAAGATTGAGATATCTAAAAGCAAGAACTCATTATTAAGATTTTTTTTTAAAGAAGCAAGAACGAGTCGCCGCATTAATCCATTTATTCCACTTTCCATAAGAGTTGTTAATGAAATACAGTAAAGAGAAGAGTTCTGAACGAAATCAAGAACGATAGAGAATGTGAAAACTATGCAAAATACCTTATTGACATGTTTCACGAAAATATTATTTTCTTCAGTATACACTGTTGTTCCCGTACTCCTACTGTTATACCATATCATGGAATAATTAGAAAAAGTTAAAATACCTACTTCAGATTAGAGAATATAAGAATAAAATAAAAGGTAGTGTGTGTGTATATTATGAAAGAAGAGAGAGAGAAGAAGAAGAAGAAAAAGAAGAAGAAGAAGAAGAAGAAGAAGAAGAAGAAGAAGAAGAAGAAGATAAGAAGAAGAAAGAGTATTACAAAGTATATTCATCATGATCATGTATATTAAATGTATACTAAAAACAGGGCCTTGAAATCTGAATCTGAAACTGAAACGAGGTTGAACAAAATTCAGACAAACATGAAGTATGTGTTTACAATTCACATGTATTCAATTCAGTTGTTCCTGTGAAATTACTGTGAAGCAAGATTGTAAATGTAAATATGAACAATTATCCTCTATGGCCATAATAAATTAATGAAATGAGATTTCGTTTCATTTATTACCCCCCCCCCCAACAACAACAACAACAAAATGTTATTGTATGGGCCTTTTCAATGCATCATTTTGTGACAATAAATCAACCATCGAGAGTAATTAATGAATGATAAATGAATATCCTGAATCAATATTGTGTATTGTGGACAATTTGCCCATCCGAAAATACACACCCAGTAGGCCAGTTTGTTACATCTCTTTCGTTGAAAGATTTTTTTTTAAACCCTAGAACGGTTTTGTGCTTCAATGTATAGGCCCCTATCTATATTTGTAGAGATGATAGGACTTTGGATCACATACATGGTTCACGGTTCTAGTCCCACCAAGGCACTGATATTCTTGAGCAAGATATGATTGGACATTTGCCTTTCTCCACCCAGGTGTAGTAAATGGGTAACTGGGAGGAATCCTTTTCCCTGACTGCTTTTAGCGCCTTATTGTAAGATTGTAAGATTGTAAGATTGTATTGACTCTATCGATCCCCTCTCAGGGTATGAAAGTACAAACATATTTACAACATAGTGTCAATATAACAGTAGTATAGCAGTGATAAACATGTGATAACATGAACAATGCTAAAAATAATATGATAATATGAACAAAGACACACATGTGATAATATGAACAATAATAAACGTATGATAATATAAACGATAATAAACATGTGATAATATGAACAATGATAAACATGTGATAATATGAACAAATAAACATATTTACAAATCAAGGCGAACTGGCCAATTCACCCTCCTACCGCTACGAGTGTGCCTAACAACATTGCTTATTTGTGAGCTATCATTTACAGTATCTACCCTGGACTCTTTTGAAAAATGTGACATAGTGAATCTAACAAATTTGGCTAATTTCTTTAGCTGGCAAGCGTGAGCTGTATTAAAAACCTTATCCATGTGCAACGCACTTGGTCTTATGCTACTACCGCACAAGTTATTTGGTATATATATTTTTCTCTCATTTTGAAAGAATGGACATATAAAAATATAATGAAATTCATCACCAATATATGTTGGTGTATAATACAGAGTGGGCATTGCAAATCATCTACTACATTTGCATCAAATCTACCTTTACTAACTGGTAATCTATGTGTTCTGCATCTAAATTTACTTAAATTTATCATTGAATGCTTTTAAGGGCCTTATGGCAGCTGGGCTAAAGCCAGGTATAATACTTTTGCTTTATACTATTATGCGCCTTGAGCTTCCTCGTTGGGTGTGCAATATTATGCATGATATAAAATGTCGCTATTATTATAATCATTACTTGATTTATTTTCTCTCTGCCATGAAGATGATCATGACAACTGTGAACTATAATCGGCTGGCCTTCATCTTAACGATGCTCAATGTAATGTTTGGTAAGTACAACAAACATACCAACACACTAAGAAAAAATGGTGCAACTATGCACCTTTAGGGGTTCAAACCGATGCAACAATAGCAGCACCTTTAGGGGTTAAATCCTGCACCCTTTTTAAAGGTGCAATCCTGCACCCTTCAAAAGGGTGCCAGATTGAACCTTTTGGGGGAAATGTTAGTACCCTTTATGGTTCAATCCTGCACCTTTAGGGGTGCAAACCGATGCAACAATAGCAGCACCTTTAGGGGTTAAATCCTGCACCCTTTAGGAGGGTGCCAGAATGCACCTTTTAGGAGACATGATGTACCCTTAATGGTTCAATCCTGCTCCTTTAGGGGTGCAAACCGATGCAATAGCAGCACCTTAAGGGGTTCAATCCTGCACCCTTTAAAAGGTGCAATCCTGCACCCATTATCGAGGAATACTCGTGACATTTGCTCGTACACGTATACATATTAAACATGCATGATGTTTCTTGGTTAGTAAAAATATAATCAATATATATATTGCTAAAACGTGAATGTAATTGTAACATGATCAGACAAAATAATCTATTGGTTAATGATTGTCGAAGGAAAATAAAAATCACATAATTGATGTGCATTGTCATAATTTGCTTAACAAATCATATGATAAATGTATTTTTATGTGAACACGTGGAAAGTAATCATGAATGTGCATGCGATATGCAAACATTTATTTTGCACCTTTTGGGGTTGTTAGGGTTCATTTTTGTGGGAAGGGTGCAAAATCTTATATTGCACCCCTTTTTGAACCCCCTTTCCTTCAATAGGGTTCATTTTTATGTAAAGGGTGCAAACTCTTACTTTGCACCCTTTTTTGCACCCTTTTTTCTTAGAGTGAAGAACAAAATAAAGAGAGAAAGAAAGAAAGAGAAGAAGAAGAGAAGAAGGGAAGAAGAGGTGAGGAGGATAGAAGAAGAAGAAGAAGAAGAGGAGGAGGAGGAGGAAGAGGAAGAGGAGGAAGAAGAAGAATTAGAGGTGCCACGATGCTATGGTGGTTGCAGCCCCTAGCCCCCTCCCGTCATTCATGTATGTAAATTGGGACTAAGAGCGGGTTTCGTTGGTTGTGGCCCCCTTGGCATATTCTATTCCGTTATTGTTACATGTAACACAAATTATTGTTGTAACTTTACACAAGGTTGTGTACACGCTAGGCCGTATCACGAGGACGGCATAGAGAGTGATCTTGTGCCACAAGTCGCTACAACCCGGGCTACAACAAAGAAGTCCCTGGATAATGGCCTCCCAATGGACTTCCCGATCAACTACCACGTTTTTAACGAAGGTAGGCTAGGTTCTATTTGCTCTTTTGAAAACAAGTTTCCATGCATAACGAGGGGGGGGGGGGGGTTGCAGTCAATGTTTCAGTTTTCTCGTGTATATAGGTTACAGATTTAGTTGATTGTTTCATAGATTCATTTATTTTGAACACGATTTATAAAGAGAACAATGTCAAAATGTTCAGCAACTAGGCTTGTTTACAAAAAGGTTGTGAAACAAGCACAATAAATATAAAATGCCAAATACAAATAATATTTAAACAATACAAACAAACCATATTAAGTATTGACTATTACAGGTAGAGCATAAGTTGATGTATAGTTATGATTTTATTGTTTCACATTCCACAAAATAACAGTTTACAAATATAATATTAAAAAAGGTCAGCAAGATAAAGCCTAATGACCAAAACAACGATGGCAGTAAATAAGCAGTAAGTAACATGAAACATACAAGGAACCTAATAGAAAGCAGTGCTTGTATAATATAGGTTCCCAAACAATTTACCAACGATATTATAACAAACTTCCAAAGTAATGAAGAGAGACAAATCCGGGACATATAAATGATACACAATTAATACGGTTAAGTGGTTACTTAATAGTCATAATAGTCACTCGATCGAGGCGGAAGAAAGAAAAACAAGATTATAAACAAATACAAAATAACGATAATGTGCCTTATGGTTATGATTTCAAGAGGAAGTCTTTGAGTTTACGCTTGAATGAATTCAGCGAGAGTGATTGAAAATCTCAGCGTCCAAACTGTTCAAAAATGAATGTCCTGTATAGGTGCGTACGTGGGATAGATGAAAATTATATGATTGCCTGGTGGGATAAGAATGAATGTCACTATTATTTAAAAACATATTATTCGAGCCACTCGGCAATTCTAAAGTTTGTTTTTCTTATTTATTAACATAAGTGAAGACTCAGATCTAAATGGCTGCGAATATTTGTAAAAATATTATCAATAAGTGTAGTCGTAACATTAACATTTCGAGTGGACTTTGTAATACAATCTCTAAGAGATTTAGAGATCATTGTATCTAGAAAATCCTGACAATGTGGCTTATCATGTTAATGAAGCAAATCTATATCAAAATCGCCCATTGTAAAATAGTATTTGTTTTTAGGACAAGATGAATCTAAAATAGAATATAAGGTGTCCGTCAAAAATGTTAAGTTGCAGTTTGGTGATTTATAAGTTTCACCTACAAGTATGTTTTAAGATGCTGCTTGTAAGTGTCGGCTTGCATGGTGATGTAGATATACAGTATGCTTTTCAGGACTACACACCCTCAAGACAGATTACCGAGAGTCCTTTTCAGGACTCCTCAATCCTCTCTCTCCCTCACATGGTGGACCCGCAAGCCTACTGTATAAGTATTTTTTTCCACTTGTGATTTCAATTTCGATACAAATATTTTCACAAGCTCCCGTCGTATATGTTAGGTTTTTAACCACTTAAAATTGGATGTCATTTTTTACATAAGAGCCACACCACCATAATTTTTAACAACTCTGCCGTTTACTACGGAGAGAGTAATCAAGCAAATAAACAAGAGAAGTGAGTGAATCTGATAACGAAGTTTCACATAATCCTATAACAGAAATGTCTACATTTAGCGAATTCAGAAACATTATATTATATATTAGAGTGTAAGTCTGAGAAATTATTTGACTCGAAACTTTTAAATTTAGGTAGATCCTGAGGTAATACATAACAAGAAGACATGTTCTGTTAAGATAAATCATTAATCTCATGAATAAGATTTAGATCAGGCATCCGTGCATTATAAGTATTTATAATATGTAAATCAGGATTCAGCATATTCTTTTCAGGACTTTCGAAATTGCCACGCGTAGGTGAAACATTAATCAACTCATTACTCGCCATAATAGCAAAAAGATAAAACAATTAGTGATACATAGTTTACTCTAAGTGAAAAGCAACTAACATACATATTTCTTGATAGAGTCAGCAAATGTAAATTACAATGAAACACGCACAGCATGTAATAAGATAAAGAGAAGAAAAAAAAGAGACGTAAGTTGAACAATTGGATTCGTATCAGGGTACGACATGTTGGAATGCAAGCAAGTGGACCGTAAAAAATGTTAAACAATTTGCAAAATAAAGGTCATTTGATCTGCTATTTCCTTTACAATGTAGAGATTAATTATTACAATACTCATTTTGTCTATTGTTTATTTTGACTAATAATTAGTTAGTCCAATTCACGGTTTGACAATTATTATTCTTTATGATTAAATGATTATTAGACTTCATGGATAATAGACAAAATAGGAATTAGACAAATTGAGATTTAGATCGACTGACAATAAGACTAAATGAGAAATAAACCAAACGGGTAGTAGATTCTTTGGAGATTAGACCAGATGGAAATTAGACCTAATGACTATTAGCTCAAGTGATTGATGAAATCATTATTTGACCATATAGAATGGGGTAGTAGATGAACTGAGGGGTGTTTCACAAAGATCCTAAGTTGAACTTATCTCTAAGTTGGACTTAAAAATTATGGGAAGCCATTAGCATCCTTGAAAATATTTTGTAATTTTTGTTTAGAAGGCATAAAATGTTGATTCAAATCATTCATATTTTCTATTATCATGGGAGATTTCATGTTCTTGATGTGGAATGTATGAAAAGACTAAAATACTTGAATTTTTGCCTTTGAATATATTTCATTTTAAGGCTACAAATGGCTGTCCATAATATTTGAGTCCAACTTAGAGTTAAATTCGACTTAGGATCTTTGTGAAACACTCCCTGGTTGTAGAACAAACGGCAATAAACCGTCGTTTTATGTTTTTACTATAGTATGGACCACATAAATTGTACAAGGAGATGGATGGAGATCTAAGTGATCGCAAAGTAATGACATCAAAGCAATGCCCTTTCTATTTTATCTTTATCACTTCTACGTCATACACAGAGGCAGTGAGCAGATATTATACCCTTCAGAAGCTTCCATTCGTTGCTCTTGATGAAGAGACGGGTTCGGTAATGTTATATTTAATCACTATATTCTTATATCTAATGACAAAATCCTATTTAATGGTTCACCGCTGCCACCATGTGTCATTTTGGTTGCTATATGAAGGGAGGCGTATCAAGACACGTACCCCCTGGACATCCACCCCCGGATAACTACCCCTAGAACAACTACCCCCTAGAACAACTACCTCATAGGGCAACCACTCTCCAGAACGACTACCCCCTAGGACAACCCTCCCCGGACGACTACCCCCTGACAACTACCCCTAGGTCAACTAGCCCCTAGGACAAATACCCCTGGACAACTTCCCCACACAACTATTCCTCCTAGGGTAGTTGACCGGGGGTAGTTGTCGTATAGATTAGTTGTCGTGGGGGTAGTTTAACTTTTCCTTTAATTTGATACATATTCTATTATATTCCATTAACGGTTTCAATATGAAAATTCTGAACAAAAAAAGAGTGTCTCGTTGTTATTGCTGAGTGCAGTTGCGATTATTTGTAACAAAAGTTTGATGCTATCTGTAGGTCAGTCCTATATGATATCAATGCTTGAATTATAGAGGCGTTTGTTTTTCTCAATCTTCAGGCCCGAGTATCGTGTCGCAGTCTCACGAATAGAACACACAAGCGGATCTTTAAAGTGTTTTTGCAGCCCTATTGTTATGATGCTCTTGTGACTGATGTAGAGAGTGGGACGATAATCCTAGTTGAAGATAGTTATACCAGGGAAGATGCTGTACGGGAAGCCACCAAAGCATTGCTTGAAAGACTCATATCTACAGGGCAGATGAAAGGTAAAAATCCCTTCTTTCTTGATTTAAAAAAAAATCGCAGATGTTTTTATCAAGTTCAATTTATTATCGGTGGCTTACAGCGCCCTATCCGAGCAATCCTGGCTTTATGTTGCAATCATAAGTATTAACCTTTAGGTCGGTCAAGAATCCCATGACTTTTACAAGCCGATCGCCTGTCTGCATGATTATCAAGATATTTATGATTGGAATTCGAAATTTCTACAGTCTATTGGGAAAAATGAGTATGGTAAAACCGGTCACTCAAAGATGTATACTTTTTTGAGGCACTTCATGATCATTTTCAACTTTTTTTTTAGGGCTTCTAAATTACACCAGATCACAGAAACTGATAACACGTAGGGCCATACATCTCAACTGGAAACATTGTTATACAATGCCTTTAAGTGTCCGGATATCAAACCCCCATTATATTAACGACAAAGAACGTATAATTTAATAAGCTCTAGTTCTTTTTTTCCTGATCATCCTCTTCAGATTCCACTTCATGTTATGTGCCAGCTTATTCATCACCACTCGTGCTCATCCAAGGTAGTTGTCCACCAGGAAAGGGCATCAAGTGTGATACCGTATGTGAGTTTGCCTGCAGTGGTGCTACCTATACCCTGGTTGGAAATCCTACCATTAGATGCGAGCCAAATACGACTCTCTCCGATGTTTTTCCTCGTTGCCAAGGTAAGTTTACAAGCTCGCCATGATGATACGGCTTACTCCGTAACGTCGGATCATCGCGTTCGGTCGGGTGGTCGGGCTACCCGATGAGATGAGAGGGGTTAATTTCACACACATTAGCCACACCCTCCCCCCCCCCCCCGTTCGCCATTTCATGAATACAAAGGGGCATTTATTAACAAAAGGGAGGGTAACGCAACCACCCGACCCTACGCGATGACCTGATGATTCGAAGTAAGCCGAAAGATACAGGGCCTAGTATATATGCCTGTCTTGAATGAGACAAGATGGCTCTGTGGTAGAGCAATGGTCTAGTAGCTTGGAGGATCCAGATTCGAAACCAAGAGAATGATCTATTGCCAAGTCCCTTTTAGAGGACCTGAAACCGTTGGTCTCCTGGAATTGTTACAAGCATGCACAAGATCTATAGCAGCCAGGTGGAATATACCATCAAACCAAACAGCATACTTTAATTCACGCAGTCTATGTTTCAACCAATGTCTTCTGATGAAATACGAAAATATTTGGTTTCTTGATGTTGTTGATTTACAAAGCTGACCAATGAACTTCACCACAAGAGAATTTCATAATTATCCTAGTCATGTTGTACTCTTGTGGAAAAGTGCTTTTATGTGATATCTTCTTACGCAGCATTGTGCCTTTCGACATAATAATTATTTTGATTTCAATTGAATTTAGCGCCTTACAAATCTGAAGTTATTATCTTTATCATTATTGTTTTCTGCAAATTATATTTTTTTAGTTAAACCATCGCTGGGAATGAAATTCTGATATTTTACATTGTCAGTGATGGATTACTTGCTAGTTCACGGCTAATAATTTTTTTTTAATTTCTAGACTTTGTTTGTATAAAAATAAACGACGCGATCCGCCGAAGGTCAAATTGATTCGTTCCATTTTGATGGGTTTTAACTGATTATTGTCTTCGATCATCTTATTACACAGCAAATGAACAACCAATCACACACAACCATGTGCCTCATACTACGACTACTCCACCACCCTCGACAACAAAGAAAAGTCCGTCCACAAAGAGGATGAATTCTTCCACAACGGAGAATGCTCTCACAACGGGAAATCCGACGACAGCGCAAGATCCACCAAAGACAAAGAATCCTTTGACACCGGAGGGTTCATCGACAAAGAAGGGTCCTGCCACCAAGGAGAATCCTACCACAGAGATAGGTCCTACCACAGAGATAGGTCCTACCACACCAAGGAGACCTACACCACCGAGTCATTCCACTTCGAAGACAGTGCCTTCTACTTCCGCTCTTCCTCAGACATCACGTAGTAAGTCATCACACAGCTAAATCATAGTTTGCGCATGGAAGGAGTCGAGACAGCGGAAGTCGCTCCTGATTGGTCATTCATTTCGCTGAGCTCCAAATGACTCCCTCCCATAGAGATGGCACACGAGAGGGATTTTGTTAGCTTCATGATTAACTGCGTGAGCGTGTCACAACTCCAAACAGGAGCTCTTTAAAGGTTTTTCGTATTAAGGCCAAATTCCTTATTTAATTACTTGATTTTATGTAATATATACCGCTTCGATGCTGTATACATAAATCTGAACTAGGGTCAGGAGAATATACTGTCTTTAACATCAGTATCAATAGTACAATATCAGTTATTAGATAATAATTGTTATTTTGTTATGTTACAGCATTCAGGAAGTTTGGATTTATTGGCTTTTTAGGCGTTCCCCTACTCCTTCTGCCAGTAATTTACATCATCTATAAATTACGTCACAGACATGACAAACAACAGGTATTAGTATAAAGGCCTTTATATATATATATATATATATATATATATAAAGAGAGAGAGAGAGAGAGAGAGAGAGACACACAGACAGACAGAGAGAGATAGAGACAGAGAGAATTTCTGTTCATGTTTGCATTTGTTTTGTTTTGTTTTATTCTACAAAACTTGCATAGCGTCAAAAATAACCATACACTAATCGAATTCTTAACTTCAGCCCTGGACCATATACACTATACCTAACTACATGTATACCTAACTCTAACCCCAAACCTCACCACAGACCCAATTGTAATCCCAACCCTAACCAATATACTTTGAAGCAATTTAGCCGGGTGCTTCTGTTCATCCAATACCATTAGTTGGATTTCTTTTCTGTAAAGATCAAAAATACTGACATAAAAAATGGGAATCAGTCTCATTTTTTCCCTTTAGAAATTGCCAAGAAATACTCAATGAATTGAAGTATTTTCTCATAACTTTACGTTTGGGACTTCTGGTTTGATTGACTTTCTAAAAAAAATGAGTATTAATTCATTTCAATCATTCTTGTTCGACTTACGATTTTGTCAATGTTAAATTTGCATTTCTAAGAGGTATACGTAAAAGTTTCTCAATTAATACACTTTTCAATTTCTTACAGTACCGTGTTCTTGATGAAAACACAGTGGAAGACGATATTGTTGGTATGTAGCTGTTTCTTCCGGGGCCCCGTCTTATAAACAGTTGCGATTAATCGCACCTTATTATTAACTAAGTACATAACAGATAGGAGACTGCAAACTTGCGATTGATTGAAGGACTTGCAATCGATTCGGATCAATCGCTACTCTTTATAAGACGGGGCCCTTATTTGCATTGCTTTCTTAATGGTATTAATATGACATCATAATGATATTATGTGGTATTTACGTATTTAAAAACAAATGCCTAATGGTATGAGATAAATTAAGTCGAATTCGTACTGTGAAACTTGCATCTTGTTTTCCAGATTTGAGTAATGTTCTTTAATTTCTTACACACCATTCGTATTTGATCTATTTATTTGCCATAATTATGTCATCGGTCTGAAACCACAGGTCCAACATTATAGTGTCCACCTATTAAAAAAATTTCCTCTTTTACTGACATTAAAAAATATACAATCTCTGTCTCTCTCTCTCTCTCTCTTTCCCTTTTTTTTTCTCTCTCTCTTTCTCTCTCTCTCTCTCTCTCTCTCTTCATACAGATATTCCTCCTGATGTTGATGGGTTGTATAAAGACATGCACATCTCTCCAGCCCTTCCAACCGATCAAGAACTCAACCGAGAAGAGGTTAGTCCATTACAGAATTAGTTCTAGATATTTCTTTCCTTGGCGGGGGGGGGGGGGGGGGAGGAGGAGGAGGAGGAGTCCGATCCCTTGGAGGGGAGGGTTGGGTGTTTATGCATTCATTTTATAAACTAGTCCCACGAATATGTTGAGTTGGCCGAAGGATCACCCCCCCCCCCCCCCGAAAAAGAAAACAAAATGTATAATATATTAATAAATTTATTTAAAAATAAATAAATAATGGGGAAACGTTTACCCCTCCTGATAGATTTCCGACAAAGAGATATAATATATTGTAACGAATATTATAACTATTATTTATTTCAGTGTTACACGATGGATCAACGCAATAAGGGTCTGGTCTTCATTTTGAACAACTACCACTTCCACGGTCCTGATCGTGCGAGCGAAAGAACAGGCTCTGATATTGACGTAGCCAACGTAAAACAAGTCTTCACCGAGATTGGCTATACGGCAGACGAAGCTCAAGATCTCAGTGCTGAGGTAGGATATTTTGTATACGTATACAGAATAATAATAATATATAATAACAATCCGTGCTTATTATAGAGCTTGATACACCGACGATGTTTTCGAGCGCTTTACAGACATAATTTTTACCACATTCATCAGATCCAGGCTTGCCCGCACACAACTTATGCACATTCTCCACTCTCTGGGGAGTGATCTCGCCAGCTCCATTTTACAAACGCTCACAATGCAGCTAGATCGAGCCATTAACATTCGCATCCTAAGAAGTACCCATCTCACACCTGGGTGGAAAGTTGCAAATGTAGATTAACGTCCTGCCAAAGCACGTTAGTGCCGGATTGGGATTTGAACCCCGTTCCTTGTGATCTACAGTCGGATGACTTACGCACTAGCTAGACCTCAACATATCTACACCATGTGTTTTGGGGCTTGAAGAACTAACGAAACAAAACAAAATACATAAGGGGAAATAAGGGAAGAAAAATGTCGGTCTCGTGGGCTGGTTTCGTGAACTATCTGAAAAGTGGTTAAACGGATAATGTCGGTTGTCCGAGTCTTACTAGTGGGTTGGAGGTCTCACGTGCTGTTAAAATTGTCTGAAGGCACAATTAAGAAACCGACATTGTCGGTATAGCTAGAAAGTTGTCGGCCTCCCGGACTCTCAGTCTCGGAGGCTGTACCTGATATCCCCGTGCAAATACACACACCGACACGCGCGCACACTTCACGCACACACACACACAGATCCATCTCCGCGGCATTCTCAAAGCACTTATATTGTTCACCCTTATCCACTTCTAACACTCTATAGGATATTAGACTGGAGCTGAAGAACTTAACCCGGAAGATCTTGCCCTCTCATACTTCGGTGGTCCTAGTCTTAATGAGTCACGGAAAGGAGGCAGGTATTCAAGGTACCGACGAGGAGATTGTGACCGTTAAGGAAATCAAGGATATGTTCTCTGGGAACAACTGCCCAGCCCTGATTGGAAAACCAAAGATCATGATCTTCCAGGCTTGCCGTGGAGGTAAAACACGACTGGAAATACTCTCGAGAAAAAAACACACACAAAAAACAACCTATTAAAGGGACATCCAACTCTAGAGAAAAAGAATGAAAATCAGAGAAGTAGACTGGTAAAAGAATAAATAAAATCGGACATAAATGGAAACGTAATGAATGTATGGGCTCTTCGAATTGGCTGAATCGGTAATGTCTCTGTGATGTAATGGCGGACAGCTGTCTTGTTCTAATAAGCAAATGACTAAAATGATGAATGTATGACACATGAGATTTTTTTTCGTTTTAGAGGACATATAACAATATGCTATCTATAGAGTAGTGCCCCAAGGGAGAAACAAACGGGAGAGTAATTCGCAAGTACGTCACAATCCATTCACCATACTGCCAATTTGAGATTGGCAAGACCTTGTGATATATCACTGCATTTCAAACATTCATAACTTTCTTATTATTGTCGAATTTATTTCAAACTTTCACCATTCTGTTTTGACAAATATGTCTGCTTTTATTCAAATGAACTTAACTCATCACAAGGGTGGATTGCCATTCAAATGAATGTTTACGAATATGACTAACATATCTCGATTTATGAACGTTTCTATACAAACTCTTGTTTACCATCTATTTGAATCACCTGTTATGCAAAAAATACCAGCTCTATAGATGGAATTCACTTTGCAAACATCAGTGCTATGTCGGACACATCTCTTGATTGTGATTTCTTCATTATTTAACTCTTTATAATAATTGTATGCCACAAAAAATAAGAACCACCTCGTGCCACATTGTTTTTATCATGGGATAGATTTACCACAGACTTCAAGATTATTTAACTGTTTCACCGGTGTTAAATGGCTTGTCATATGGCAATTCAAGACTGGTAACGGGTAATAAGGGAGTTTACAGATAGCACATGGTACAAATGACCCCAAATATCCACAAATCACATGGAGAAGTTCCACTTTGAGCATCTTAGAATAATAAGTGCCAAAGTCCTAGATGTGCTTCATGAATACCTTTTGTTTGTCCTCTTGGAAAGAATACTTCCACCTGCGTATCATAGAATGTACCGTTGGTGCATAAATGAATAATGTTACATAACTTTTATGAGCGCATGACTGCACCACTCGAATACAAAGTTCTCTAATGAAAAATGCAGAGAGTTATTTGAAAAAGAGTTCGGAATTCTTTTCTTCTTATTGTTTTCAGGGAAAGTAACGCCGAGTGCTCCATCTCTCGCCACCTCCGTAGTGGATAATGGAATATGTACAGACTTCGTCGGGACTGACGGGGTAGCAAGGGATGGAGGGGTTACCATGGTAACAGAAGATGAAGCATGTTCCACATCACGTGGTAGAGCTGGAGGAGGAGGAGGAGAAGTGGAAATTGACTGCGGTGTACCGGACAATGCTGATATGTACATTGCTCAATCCACGTCGGAAGGTATGAGGAAGAATAATGAGGGGGGGGGGGAGGGAGAGAAAGAGAGAGAGAGAGCGCGATAGGGATATATATATACATTATAGAGAGAGAGAGAGAGAGAGAGACAGAGAGAGCGCGATAGGGATATATATATATATATATATATATATATATATATATATATATATATATATATACAGAGAGAGACAGACACAGAGAGACAGAGAGGAGGAAGTGACAGAGAGAGAGAGAGAGAGAGAGATAGAGATAGGGGCGAGGGAAGCGAGGAAGAGAGAGAGAGAGAGAGAGAGAGAGAGAAAGAGAGAGAGAAAGAGAATGGAGAAGAGAGAGAACGAGAGAGAATCGGGGAGAGAGAGAGAGGAAGACAAAAAGAGAGAGAGAGAGAGGGGGGGGTGCAGGGGAAGTGGGAGAGAGCAGCAAAATGAAGAAATATTATTGTTGTCCTAGTATAAATTTCACATTTCCGTTGTTGATTGACAGGCTATTTCTCACTACGTAATACACAAAAAGGATCTTGGTTCATCCAGGCTCTCTGTGAAGAGCTGATCGCCAGTGCCCACGACCACCATCTCGATGACATCATGACAAAGGTTACACTTCTTTTAGTATATCATTTTCTTCTAGAGATTTTAGACGAACAGTACGTGGCATAGCTACAGGGGGCACAGGGGGTACATTCCCCATCGAGTATTAAAAAAAAAGGAAAACAAAGAGGGAGAAAAAAATGAAAAAACAAATGAATGAATCAATCAATCAATCAATAAATAAATAATTCACATCTCATTTTCCGAATATCCCCGATGCGGCCTTCGTTCCAAATTTCGCTTTGACTTGTGATACGACAGCCAATCACACCTTTGTATCTGTAAGAGCTAATTGATGTATATATTTTTTTTCTCATAATGTTTTCATGCAATTAGGTTACAGACAGAGTGAAGCGACAGGAGACAAGGATACGCATCAGCGACGACGAACGACAGCTAACCATGCAGACCCCGCAGATTATCAAACAAGGGATAGGAAAGAAGATCTTCTTCTTACCAAAATACCCTCCGCCAGCGGGAAGTCAATAAATTAAGAGGCATCTATAAATCTAATCTTGATCTCTGGAATGCAGAGGCGGTGGAGTCGGGGGGGGGGGGTGCACAGTGCCCCCTTTTTTTTCAAGTACCCCTAAAATGTGTTTTCAACATATGAAAGTTGTCCCCCTTTTCTCCAGATAAGTGCCCCTTTTTATAAGGGCCCGTTCCACATTCTTATAAGTGCCTCTTACCACTTCTGATAAGTGCCCCTTTCACCGATGATAAGCGGCCTCTATCAAGATCTTATTAAGGTGCCCATTTTAATTTTACAAGTACCCTTTTCTTTTGTAATAAGTGCCTCTTCCCCTTCTGATAAGTGTCCCTTTCCATCTTTAATGATTGCCCCTTCTCACCTCTCATAAGTGCCTTTTTATTTTGAAACGTGCCCCTTGTCTTTATAATTAATTATATGCCCCTTTTATTTGTTTAATAAGAGCCACTTCCCTTTCTCAATGCCCCTTCTCACACGTGTGATAAATGCTTATATTAAAAATCTCATAGGTGCCCATTACCCTGTGCAATGGGTATACCTTTCCATTTTCACAAGTGTCCCTTCACATCTTTTAATTGCCTCTTTTCAAATCTGAGAGATGTCCCTTTTATTTTGACAGCTTAAAGTGCCTCTGTTCATCTCCAGTGAGTGCACTTATTGAAAAGTGAGAGGTGCCCCCTTTAAATTTGTAATAAGTGCCCCTTTTCATCTCTGATAAGGGCCCCTTTTTATTTTGACATATGCCTCTATCCTTTCTTATTAGTGCCATTTTCCTTTTGATAATCGCCCCCTCTCCTTTTTCATCTCTCACCTTATCAGGTGCAATTAGTGTCCCATTTTCACATCTGATAATTCAGATTTTTACAAGTTTGACACGAGCTCCTTTTCTTTTACAGTAGGCCTAATTGTCTTTTTAACTTTGGATATGTGTCTCCTTTTCCGTTTTAACCATAAAATGTGCTCCTCAGTAATTTAAAGCGACTAAGAGCAACTTTTTTCTTCAATTTCACCCAAATCTTGCTTGCTACGCACATTCGCATTTTAAATTAATATGATTTTATTTCGTATTAATGATTTTTTTTCTATCTCTCATGATTAGGTTTGTTTTTTCCTTTTTAAAAGATGTAATTTTTAGCAGCCTCACAAATCTTTAAATTTTGCGTACTCGCTTCTCTCGCTCGCAATTTAATATATAGACAATCACTCCCAACGGCAAAGTATGATGCTTAAGCATTATCTTGGACCATGTAAAGAGAGCAGCAAAAAATGAAATCATCGCTGATAATCTAATCACAATATAGGGGTATAAGGGCCTACCAATGTCTAAAATTTGTATATTATCGCTTTGAGGTTTTCTTTTGTAGGTGCCCCATTTTTTCTCCAGAAAGCGCCCCTGTTTTGTTGGTCCCCCCCCCCCACTTTGAACTTGAAGACGCTGCTGGTATGGGAATCCTATTTTGAGAAAAAATTGCTACGGTATATTTTGGCGTGTTTATCCTGCAGTAGATTGGTTTTTTGAACCAGTGAAATAAAAATATACGCACAAAACTGTACAGGGCACCATCTTCGATAAAGACCACAACTCCAATTTGCACATAGCGGCCTCGTGATTTTCTTATCCTTTTATGCTCATTACTCAGCCACTATAAATTGTCTACCAATATACATGTCATTTATTAGTAATATTGAATATTCGGTGCAAGTTTCGTTGGATTCTGTGAGAATTTATTTTCTATATTTACCAGAACTCAAGTTCTTAATTCTTATAGGTAGTGATAAATGCAAGGGTCGACTGGTCGTAGCATATTAATTTAAAAGTTAGATTATGTTACCAGTGGTGTATTATAATAGGTTGGTTATTGTTCTAAGATGGTTATATACAACGCATGCTCCTGCGACGTTACTGCTGATCGCGGTCATTTCTGAACCAAAATACAAATGTCTTTCTTTTGAAGTTTGTAAATACGTTGAAAAAAAAGTTGTCTTACTTATTGTGCAGAAGAATCCATTTTCACCATTAAACAGATGAGCCTCTTCAGCGATTTACGAATAGAACTACATTGTATTGTAATATACCATTTACGTAATGCAATCACATGTAATGCATATTTCTTTATGTCATGTTACAAATTTCTTCATTCATATATTTATGAATAATTCTATTACAATAGTCAGATGCGAATTGCATAGTGCATACATACTTAAACGTAACTTAATTTGATGTTGGAGTCATTTGTTATTGAGTCATCGATTATCATTGTATAGGCTCCTATACTCCAATAAAATAATGCATCGTCTTTCGAAGACATTGTTGCTTTTTATTACAATCAAATTTGTTTGTATCTACATAACTGTATTCTGTGAAGATATCGTAACATGTAGTAATACATGACTATGTCTTGAAATCAAATACCATAGCACACAAGTCTACATAGTTGTCTTTAGTCTTTATAGTTGATGAAAAGAAGACTGTGTAACTGATTTATTAAGAGAGAGAGAGAGAGAGAGAGAGAGAAAGTGAAGATGGAGGAAAAGGGGGTGTAGAATTGATAGATATATAGTCTAGAGAGAGAGAGAGAGAGGTTCGGAGAGAGTGAGCTAGAGAGTGAGAGAGGGAGGATAGAGAGAGAGAGAGAGAGAGAGAGAGAGAGAGAGGGGGGGGGGAGGAAGAGAGAGAGGGGGCGGGGAATGACCAACGAATGGGAACATCAATTAGAAAGCTCTTTAAACAATTAAAACAAAAATTAAGTGGGTGTCTTTTTCGGAAGGGGGTGGGGGGCATAGCTTTTATCGCCCTCCGCCGTGATCATTTTTAGACTAGGCATATATAGGCTCACGGCAATAAAGTTATAGTTCGGCAATTTGTTTTCTCTAAAACAAGGATGTATTACTATGTTTCGAATATTAATATATGGCCTTAATAATTTTACATTTCTGCGCTATATACATAGATATATGTAGTTCTACAGTGGCTTGATGTTTAATTTCGATTAGTCCAATAATTAATAGTTGGGATATTTAGGTTGATAATTGATTTTAGAAAAACAATCACTCAGTCCACGAACCATACGAGTTATGTTGTTTGGCCAACTAATATGTGGCTTATGTAGAAGGGTGTGGGAGGGGGGGGGGAGAGAGAAGGGGAGAGAGACGTACCCCCCCCCCCCCCTCCCAGCGGCCCCGTCTCAGTCTTTCCCTCTCGGAGACTCTTCAGAGTGTAGTAAGATAGTGACTTTTCCATAAGAGGCGATTGGTGGAAAATGCAGAACATTACATGTTATCTCCCATCCGGGCATCTCTCTCTCAAGTTCGAGCTCTTCTCAGCAGCCCCCCCCCCCCCCCCCGGATTATAGTTCAACTAGCCATTAATAATACGTGGCACGCGAGTCGAGAAAACTGGATCGGAAAGACCTTGTCAGAGGTCATATTAACTAGTCTAATTTTATAAGTTTATCATAATTTATTATGAAATTTATCAACATATTTTGTTGTGAGTGCAATAGTTGCATGATTAAAATACATGCACCTCCCTCAGGAAATAATCAAAAAATTGACCAACTGAAAAACTAGTATCTATTAAACAATGTGACATGTTTATTATGCTAAATATAAATGTTAACAGAGCTTATATAACAAAAATGTTCTGAATTTAGACTACGTGTGCAAGGCTGTATTGTTATGATCTACATTGCGTTTATTCACTGCATGCACAGTACATTGTATGTTGGTCCAAACTCCTTTACCCGGGCCAGCCAGCGTATCAAAGCTTGTTTATACTGCGACTGTAATTTGTAACAGCTGTTGTTACTATTCTGACATTTGCAACTCACATTTTGCATCATTTCTGAACCATTTTTACGTCTCGAGACGTCCAACAAATAACAATGTCGGAAGACCATTTTGACGATCTGGAGCATTACAACTACGATCCCATTCACAGCGGGGCGAGCGGCAAGGGGCTGTCGAAGAAGGAGAAGGCGACGAAAGAACACAATAATCCACACACAACGAAAGAGGCCCGCCTTGTCGAAGATCAGATTACGAATTCAGAACAGAAGAAGAAGGATAAGATCAAGAAACAGAGCAGCAAAGAATAGATTTGAGGACAGAAACATTGGGTGTTTGTTGAATAACGACATGAATTGTAACTTTTAAGGTGAGACTCAGTTGCAGTCTGCATTCTTAACCTAATTCTTATTTATTTAATCTTAATTTTACTTTTAGTTAAAGAGAAGATTCAATTCTGACTTCTGGGAAGAGGTGAAACATAATTTGTGACGCGAGTGATATCATTGTTAATAATAATATGCAAGTGCGGAAGAACAACAGATAAAAAATGTTCACTGAAAAGCATGGCTCTTCAAATGCCTTGATATAGATCTAGACCTCTAGTCTATAGACCCTACGCCATGTAATGGCATACAAATCGGGACGTATTTTTACGCCACATGTTCGTGTAGTCCCATATACATCTTTCTGTGTACAGTGCTTGTAACTTAACATAGACTGGGCCAAATTTCTTATCATTTTGATGATTCCAGTCTTTCCAGAACCTTGCAGTACACACCAATATGCCAGACGATCAACCTTTTCTGATCGATTCCGCACTGTTTCTTTCACAATGCAATCGCATGACCAGCACTCAACTTTTTCTTTTAGTTAACATCATATTCATAAATGCAGCAAGTCTGTTTGGAAGATTATTTTATTTTCAACTCAACACTGTAAATAGAAAAAAATCTTCTGAACAAGATGTAGTCCTGCTACATACATTATATGACTAATGATAAGTAATGAAGCATGATTATGCTATTCTTAAAAATAAAGACCAGTTATGGTCATGCGATTGCATTGTGAAAGAAAGGTTGTGGAATCGATCAGAAAAGGTTGATCATCTAGCATATAAGTATTGGTGTGTACTCACTGGCGTACCTATGGGGGGGGGGGGGCAGGGGGGGCAGAGTGCCCCCCCTGACGGGCTCCAGGGGAAAAAAAGAAAAAGGGGAAAGAAAAGAAAAGAAAGGGAAAGGAAAGAAAAAAGGAAAGAAAGAGAAAAAAGGAAAAAAAGGAAAGAAAAAAACGAAGAAGAAGAGAAAAGGAAGAAAAAGGGAAAAGAAAAGGAAAGGAATAAAAATGGGGAAAAAAAATAAAGAACATGGCCGTAAGCACCAGGGGGGGGGGCAGTTGACCCCAGATATTTTGAAATCATACAGTTTTTTTCCTGAAAATGTAGTGCAGGCCTATACCAAATCCTTCAATTCTACTTTTGAAAATGCAAAAGTACCCTCATGACCAGTTCGGTCGCTCGAACTCCCTTCACTCCTTTTGCTTTTGAGATTCTTCGAAAACTTTTAACGCATTTTCCCCCTTCCCCCATCAGAAAAATATTCCGCATACGGCCCTGAAAAATTAAAACAAATGAAAATAGGAAAATATAAGTGATATAACAAATTTGAAACTCTTCGCTGGCGCGAACTGCTTGCTAGCCTATTTTGTATTAAATGTTTTCACTTCCTCGTCCCCCTGAAAAAAGAAAAGGATTAGTATTACCTAGAATACAATTGTGCCTGCCCCGACGGGCCCCGACCTGCAACCATGGCAACAATAACACACAATATATGTACCAAATGTTACTAAAAGAGACTAATTCAATTTTCTCGCTCGCTACACTCGCTCGCGAATAAAATGAATAGACATTGCTTTGGAAACAATTTTGTGCCCACCCTTGACCTGCAACAATATCATTAAAAATGGAAGAGTTTTTTCGCCCTCTCGCCAAAAAGGAATTGAATCGCGTTAAACGCGATTGCGTCCATCCTGACCTGCACCAATAAAAACAAGTTTATTTATTAATTTCTATTAAAAGAGAATTATTTTTTTTTGCTTGCTCGCTATGCTCGCTCGCCAAAATGGAATTGACACCGCTAACGTGCCCGCCCCAACCTGCAACAACCAGTTAATAATTATGTACGAAACGTTATTCATAGAAGTTTTGGTGTGCTCGTGCTCGCCAAAACGGAATTAACATCACCTTAGACATAATTGTGTAAGCCCTGCCCTGCAACAAAAAAATCTGAAATTTATGAACCAATTATCATTACAAAAATTTTGCTCGCTCGCTACGCTCGCTCGCCAAAATAGAAATAACACCGCTTTTAATAATCACGTCCCTGACATGAAACAATTAAACCAAGTTTATATACCATATTTTCCCTATAAAGAGAAGTAATTTTCTTTGCTCGCTCGCTACGCTCGCTCGCCAAAATAGAATTAACACTGCTTTTAATAATCACGTCCCTGACATGGAACAATGAAACAAATTTTATATAGCAATTCATTGAGAGAAAGATGTATTTTCGCTCGCTAGCTAAAATGGGTATAAAATCACCCTAAACACAATATTGTTCCCGCGCCCTGCATGGGACAATTGAACCAAGTTTAAGTGGCAATTATTAAAAAAGAAGTGATTTTTTTTCTTGCTCGCTACACTAGTTTGCAAAAAAATGAAATTAACGTCGCTAACAAGTGAATGTTCCCACCCCAACTTGCAACAATACCAGTTTATATACCAAACGTTACTTAAAGATTTTTTTTTGCTCGCTCGCTCGCTCGCCAGAAGTGAAAATTAGCATCGCCTTTTTTGTTTGTTTCGGTCGCTTGCCACCCCTGACGGAGTACCCCAGGTACGCCACTGTGTGTACTGCAAGGTTCTGGAATCATCAAAATGATAAGAAATTTGGCCCAGTCTTCGTAAAGTTACAAGCACTGTACACAGAAATACACACCAATAGATAAACTAATTTACCAAATATATCAATTAGTAGGCGGTTTCCTGGCAAAATTGTTATCATCATGTATTAGTCAAAACATACTCTTTCACATGATTGGTAATAAGAGCTTCCATTTCATTTTTTGAAATAGGGGCATTTCCAATACTGGTCTTTACCTTTAAGTTTTTATATCAGCACTTTTCATGATGACATTTGTGAAATCAACGAATCTTTTGTTTCTTTCTTCCTCGCTTAGGTTTGGATTTGCCACAGAAGATCGGATACAGTGTCGCTATGTCGGGGACCGGAACATGGACAAAGAGGATGCCAATCATGAATCACATTGAAGGAATCAAAGAGAATTTGATAGCGGCCTCTATAGTCTGTCTCTGATCATGGGTGAATTACTCAATGCAGTCGAGATGGAATTTCTACAGAAATAGTGAAAATCAACTCACTTTTATACAATTAAGTCTGCATGTTTTTTTGAAAATAATTAGTTGATGTCTCTGATCATGGGTCAATTACTCAATGCAGTCGAGATGGAGTTCCTACAGAAATCACTGAAATTTTGAAAATCAACTCACTTTTATACAAGCCTGTATGTTTGTTTTAAAAATAATTTGTTGATGCCCTTGTGTGGAAAGTTTGGAAACATTCTATAATTCAACTGTTTGAAGCAAAGGATTGATTTTGGGTTGAAGCTGAGAGCAGTTTGACAAGAGATTAATAAAAGGTTAAAAGATTTTAGAGAGGTCTACCGGTACTCATTCTCATTCCAAATTGAAGAAAAAAAGCCTTGATTTAAATATATTAAGTATTCATTTATCGGGGATGCCAGTTTTCAGTGTTTTTCTTGAATTCGCGTCCTATTTACCTCTCTACCGGTAGGCTGGCTTCGTTGTAGGCTTAATAGTGTACACTGTACAGAATGTATGGGGCTCCCACATGTCATAGTCTTAGTTGAAGCTAATCGAGTAAAAGCAATTGGGCAGGGTCTCACGAAACTGTCATAAGTACAAGTTCACCGACATCCCATTGAAATGCGTGTATTAAGTTAAACACGCGTTTCAATGGGATGTTGGTGAACTTGTACTTACAACGGTTTCATGAAACACTGCCCTGGTATCCCAGACAGAAAAACATGTCTGCTTAAAGATACTTCGTCCTTTAACTTTGATAAAGCCAGACATACATACTCATACATGCCAACTGTTCAGATTAAAGAGGAACATTCCTCTTTTTGGGAGAAGATAATTATCATTTTAATGCAGGTGTTCCTCTTCCTGTACAAATTTGTCTGTAGTATTGAATAGGAGAGTTAGGATTGTTCCTCTTTTTTTTTTAAAATAGCATAATTTGTACAGATTTCTGATTTTCAAATGTTGGCATGTATGCATACTGTATGTAGACTCGACAACACATACAAGTATACCCGCATGAAATAGACTGATTTGTCTATCTATTGGCATCCCTGATATACATCTAATAGCCTTCATCAAATTTTCCTGTAATTAAGTAGTCACTAAATAACAACCTGACATGATAGTATCGTCATAGAGCCATGTAGTAAATAATCGACATGTCCATGAGTAGACAAATTATTCATGTAGGAGATTCAAACATTTATGTTGGTGTATTAATCAAGAACTGAGAAGATTACCTTGAAAAGGACATTTAAAACAAACACACTTATGCTATGCCACCATATGTGTTTGCTTTTTTGATTTGGCATCATAATCCGGTTACTTACCCGGTACTTATTCAACTGCCTAGCAGTTTTTACTTTGTGCAATGTTCATTGACCCAATAACTTCCATACATGTATGTATACAGTATCCCTCAATTTGTTTTCAGCGTCATTCTTGTTTACGGCAACTCACAACTAATATTCATCGTCATTCTAATTTACGGCAACTCAAAACTGATTTTCATCGTCATTCGTGTTTACGGCAACTCACAACTGATATTCATCGTCATTCTAATTTACGGCAACTCAAAACCGATTTTCAGCATCATCAATCTTGTTTACAGCAACTCAAAACTTTTTTTCATCATCATTCTTGCTCATGAAGTCAACCTTTGCAATGGAATAGTATTTACATGTAGGCAATATCACACTTTTCCCCATGAAGTATAATACATGTACATGTACATAGTACATGCAACCTACTGGGTGTCACAAGAAAAATAATTATAATGTTGGGGTCAGAGTACTTACATGTACATGTACATGACATGCCAGCCTCAAATTTCACTTGTCTGAAGTGTCAAAGGCACACCACAAACACAAACAAATATATTCAAAATCTCAAATGGCTTCAAGTTTTGCAAAATTGGATTGAAAAGTCCAAACCAGGAAAATGGTATTCTAATTTGCTACCCCATCAGGCATGTGGGCAAATCATGCTGTAGCACACCTATTAAACATGTAAGCTGGCGTGAAATACATTACCTATATATGTACAGTATTCATAGGTTGCATCACTTGCATAATAAAACATCATATTTTAGTCTCATCCCAATTTCTTGTCAGAATACTGATTTTTTCATAGAATAAACTGTAAGAAACCGATACAAATTAATAGTATAGTCGTTGAACAACGTTTAAGTTTTCTAATATTTCCTTTACATGGTATTTTAATGCCATTTTTTGCAATATGTATTTGTAGTAGGTTTCTGCATTAATCATTGCAGTGAAGGTCTCATAAAAATTCTCAATAATAGACATTTTATGAAAATTTAACATAACACAAAGTCACAAATGACTATGAGAATCAATGCTCAACTGCAATTATAGTCTATCTTCATTTGAAATATATACATACTATGTGATAGTGAATTATTTCAGAAATATTTTTTAAAATTTGGTCTTGAACAGAATTGTAAATGACGAAATACAAACCTGTGTAGAATATGACTGCATCCAATGCAGCAATTTAATCTTTGTATTTTGAATACTTGCAATGTGTTAACAGGGGACCAATCATATGAAAAAATAATTTGATTATGTATTAAAGAAAATGTATACAAAATAATAAACAATGAACTTTACCCAGCATTCTAATGATGTATGGTTAGGAATTATTATGAAGTAAAAACAAAAGAAATAATGAATTTTTTGCAGGGAATTCAAGTCAGACTTGGGTTATTGCATGAACTTTAATACAGAGAGGTGTCATGGTCTAGTGGACAAGTCTTTGGACTGTGGGAACCGCAAGATCCAGGGTTCAAATCTCTGCCTCAGCACTTGAATTAAAATTTGGCAAGACATTATTCTACATATGCCTCACTCGACCCCAGCTGTCGTAAGTGGGTACCTGGGAGGATGTATCCCTTGAATACACTGAGCACTAAGGTTGCCATATGTAGTCCCTGGAAAATATTATCCAAACTCCTTTGGAAGTGCTTAAAGACGTCATAACATGAAGGGCATATTATATCATTTAAAGTAGTGATATACTCAATACTCGCCTTCTTTGAGATTATATTGGAACTTGTATTTTCTCCTTGTAGAAATTAAATATAATTAATGGAGCTGCTATTCTTCATACATTTGTCAGTATACTCTATGGAACCACCTATAAATCCAAATATATTTTTAACTGATTGGTCCTCTTTAAATTTGACATTAATGATGTAATGTTATTTGTGCCTCACTAGACGTGTGTAATATTGGTAAAGGTAGATGTAATAATGTTTACTTCTGAATGTTAATTTACTATTACCAGGATTTGTGGTCTAAATGTTACTTTTATTGTGTACTAAGTATCATGCAGTTTTCTTAGATTTACATAATACCGGCTACTTGTAGAAGTTGATTTCAGAACTGATTAATATAGGGAGTATGAAAATTAATCTTTGTAATTTGTTAATCAATATAAAAACAGAAATACAATGTATGGTCACAACTACACATACTGTAACTGGTTGGGGTTGGGAAGAAAATTGAGCCATGGATTTTCTCCTATATTGTGTGTCAATCTATGGCTAAAATTGCTCATTTAGATTATTACACTCTGATTCAGGACAGTGGCATAGCTTTTTTTTTGCCATTCTGGCGGGGGGGGGGGGGGGGGGGGGAGGGGGTTCCTTCTGTAGTTTGGCCATTGTTTCTGGGAATGGCAGTGACAGCACTTTGGCAAATTTGTTTAAAATGCTATAGTATTAAGTGTAAAGTTATAATTGATCAATAAGTAAAGGATTTAATAGTTCTTGTACCTTTAGAGATTCTGCAGATTCAGTTCATTTAGATGTACCAAAGGTTTTCATCATTTAGATTTAGCTAAGACGCTTATGTTAATTAGATACATTTTAAATGTATTCCTTTTCTTTCTCTTAGACTGTTCTTGAATATGATGTAGCCTTAACACAGAATAAAATGAATCTATTAAAGAAAAAATATCACAATTATTTTATTGAATAACTGGCTGGAAGAGATTGCGAATCAGCGAGGTTAGAAGGGGGATGTGTAATGAGATAGGCATAGTCATAGGAAGAAAGGGGAGAGGGTGAAGAGAGAGAGAGAGAGCAAGAGAGAGAGATAGAAAAAGAGAGAAAGAGAGAGAGAGATAGAAAGAGAGAGAGAGAGAGATAGATAGAAAGAGAGAGAGAGAGAGAGGGAATGGGGAGAGAAAGGGAGGGGATACTATTAGTAGTTGGGTGGCTTAGCGTCAAATTTATCGATTATCGTTACTTGCCGTCTTGCCGGATAAGAGCACCATTTTTGATACAAGGCTTCCTTAGGATCTACTAAGCGATATATGGCTAGAAGCCCCCGGCTAAAATTTCAATATTAGGTTGTGGGGGCGGGGCGTCTTTTTGGAGCCCCCAAACAATCTAATAACATTGATTTGTTGTTGCCATTTTTGGTACAGGGATACCTAAAAACCTAGGGCTTAATCGCCGTGCGCGGGCTCGCTCTCAAAGGGCTAATATCGTTCAGTAGGTCCTAAGGAAGCCCTGTACCAAAATCGCATTTGTACAACATCAAATCGATGTTGTATTATGCTTTAAATTATTTGGGGCTACGAGGCGATGCCCCCGCCCCACACCCTAATATGATATTCTTGCCGGGGGCTCCTACCCTAATATCGTTCAGTAGGTCTTAGGTAGGAGCCCCCGGCAAAACTATCACAAAAGGGTGTGGGGCGGGGACGTCGCCTCGTAGCCCACACATAATTTATAAGGTAATATTACATTGATTTTGTTGTTGTTGTACAAACGCCACGTGGCCCCCAATCACACATTATAAATATTTATGCAAGGGGCTCCTGCCCTAATATGTTCAGAACCAGTGGCGTACGCAGGATTTTTTCAAGGGGGGGGGGGGGGGGTTTAACATTTTGAAATTGGGCCGAAAATTTCGCAACGACTCAGCCGGGGGGGGGGGGGGGGGGGGTAGGAGGTCACTTTTTTCCCTTTTTTTTGGTCTCGATATTTGAACATTTGAAATTTTGCTCCGTAGGGGGGGGGGGGGGGGGTTAGGTCACTTTTTTAGGTGGGTGGGGGGGGGGGGGTAGGAGGCCACTTTTTTGGGGTCTCGATATTTGAAAAATTTGAAATTTTGCTCCGTAGGGGGGGGGGGGGTAAGGTTACTTTTTTAGGTC